GCATTTCTTGTGCCTCCCTCCCCATGGACCTGGCACAGGCGGCATGTCAAGGCAGGAGGAGAACTAGCTGGAACATATTTACTACACCTGTCTCTGGCCAGTGCACAGACCCTCGTGTAAACTGGAGCAGCCTAAAGGGTGCCCTAGCTGGGCCTGGGAGAGTCAGGGCATCTCGGTTCCCTGAAAACTTCCTGGCAGGATGCCACAGAGAACCTGGCCTGCAAGCAGTCAGTACACTCACAAGTTTTGTAATAATTTGGTCGTGCCTGACGGTGATGTGTTTGATGGTTAGATTCTTTTTCTGTATCGCCTCACCGGTCTCCACCTGTCCTGGTAACTGTAGTCTATGCTATTTATAAGTTTTGTGTATGTTTAAGTATGCTGCCATAGATGCCGCAAAGATTGTTTTGGGCTTGGTCACAGCATCTTCCAAGAGTGTATTTCTTATGTAGCTATACACACTCACCAGCAATAAATGAATAATGATTTCAAGGGTCCAAAAGAGTTTCCTTTGAGGATGCTGCATAACTAGAGCTGCTGGGAGTCAATGGAAGGATGAAATTAACTGAATCATCTTACCGTACGTTGAAAACGACATCCCAGACCACTACCTAACAGTCTCGACTTGCATCAAAACCAAAAACAACCTACCCGTTTTAAAATGATGGGCAGAATCAGAAAGCTGGAGATAAAAAGAACCACTGGTGGAATGAGACAGGAACTTGGCTTGGACCTAGAAATATGTCAAATCAGACTAGACAGCAAGATTATTGAGGAGGTGGAATGAAAGATATTCCTTCCACATGTGCCTATTCCTGCAGCTGTTGTTTTTTTCTTTTCTTTTTTTCCTTCTGTTCTTCTTCTCACTTTCTTCTCCATGGTAATCTCTGGGCTTGTCTACATGTAGTTGCACCCACTTAACATGATTTTTTTTAACCCAACCTAACTGTCCTAGTGCAAAAGGCTGGGTGACTCTGCTTATTCCGGTTTAATTTAAATGGGCTCAAGCTAAATAGAAACAAGCCTCTTCCAAATGCAGTGAGAATTGCTGTAAAGTGAGTTGCACAGGCTTAACAAAACTGGTGCAAGTTTGTGCAGAGACAACTCTCTCCTCTACATTTTTGAGGATTTCCCTACACTTACCTATTCTCTATCAGGAACACAAATACTGACTTGACAAATACATAACTGCCCCCATGGAAGGGTCAATGTAAGTTGTTACGGTTCTTGTACTATGAGAGAGGGCACAGAAATAATTTGACTTCTTTTAAGGTGTAATGCTTCTGACATTGCTGTGACTGCATTAAGATATTTTTCAACAACTGATTTCCATATAAGTAAGTGTTGCAGTGTGGTAAAGAGTCCAGGTGGTAGCCCATTAACTTGTGTGGTACTGTTGTTTCAGTGCACCGACTGAGCTGTTGGTACAGTAGCAATGTTACTGTCTAGAACTGAGAGTTGGCTCAGTCTTCTTTCACACTTACTTTCCAGATTTAAGAAAATCTTCTTGGAACTCTAGGTAAATCACAAGGAGTTATTTTATAGGAAGTGCAGGAATTGGATCAGCTCTTACTTTGCCATCAGTGTACACGTTAGAGATGTTAGGACTGAAAAGCAGGCATAGATTTCTCTCTCCTTCTCCCTACACCCCAACCAAGCCTTCCTGAAGGCTCTCCTACTGAGAACCGCAGGCACGTGTTACCTCCAAGAAAAAGAGCCCATGCTTGGAGCTCCTGTCTGGAACTTAGGTGTTTATAGATGTGCTCTGGGAGGTGGGGTGCTTTAATTAGCGCAGCTCCGAGAGCCGTGCTAACCGAAAGTGCCCAGAGCATCATGTGTATCAGCACCCCTGCACTGAAAAATGGCAGCCAAGTGCTTTGAACTAAAGCTCATTGAATGAGCCTTAACTTAAAGCGCCCTGCTGCCATTTTTCAGCACAGGGATGCTGATGCGTGTGATGCTGGCGTGTAGTAATTACAACACTCCAGCAGACTCAGTTGATCAAGTCTGCTCTGATGCGCTGTAATTGCAGTGTGCCGGAGCAGCCTCTCTTCATGTATAAGAGCCCTAGTGTCTACCCTGGAGTTGCTGACCTAGGTCAATAATTGACTGCAGTTTCTTTCTGTGATAACATGACAGCTTTCCTGTGATTGACAAAGACCCTAGTTGGCAGGACCAAATGGAAGCTGTGGACCTGATGGTCTGACTGACAGCTGTGCTAGGAAAAACTGGTTGAAAAAACAGGTTGAGTAGCAAATTCCACCTGGATGTTGCTGAAAAGGGAAATTCAATAGCATATTGCCAGGCTGCTACAGCTGACAGATCCTTCCCCTACATCTCTAACACATTCTCCACTACAGCGTAATGGGCTCCATCTGTAGTCTTCTCATGCTGCAGATGTTCTGATGAATCCATTCCCATACTGGCAGGAGCCTGATAGTCATCAGTGTTTCATCATCTTCCTTTTGGAGAGATCTCTCATTCTAGCATCTCTTACCATTCCCTTTTCCTTTGTGAACATGTGACCCATCATTTGCTATCAAGTCCACCTGAGTTTGTCCAGTAGGGAGCCAGTTAGAAAGAATGAGAGGAGAGCTGCAAAATAAAGAGGGGGCCAGCACAAGGACAATCCACCACTGAGAACATCCAAAGAGGGGTGAAGTGTGGTTGTCTGGTGTTAGACCCATATGGGGATGAATTTTGTCCACTACCAACAGCACAATTTGACATCAGGTAGAGGCCTCTATAGAAGATCTCAGCTACTGGGGTATTCCAGTGCTGAAAAGGATTCTGTTTTCTTAGCTCATATATCAGGGGCAGGCAATTATTTTGGGAGGAGGGCTTCTTACTGAGTTTGGCAAGGCATTGAGGGCTGCATGACAGGCAGCCGGGGCAGATAAATATTACCTTTCTAAATTTTTTTCTAGGGGCCCCGTGGGCTGGATAGAATGGCCTGGTGGTCCACATCTGGCCCGCAGGCTGCATTTTGCCCTCCCGTCATACAGGCACTAGTGACTTGGAGAAAGTAAGATGTAGCTTCTGCCTCATCCCTTTATGTTTTTTATTAGGAAGTTAAGTAACACCTCTCATGTGGCTTGCTCAGAAATTGTACCTGCGCTAAGAGAAATGACTACTGGATAGAGAGGCTAGATTCTTGTGTGCCTGGCTGACATTTGGGGGTGGCGGGGACCATTAAGGCATTAACAAAATATTTAGGTGGTATATCATAAGTACCTACCAGTTTCCCTGTGAGCTAGGACACAACTGGCCCCCTGAAGCTAGTGTTTTCAGGAGGATCAACTAAGCTTACTGCCCAACTGATGCCGCCTGGAGCTGGAGCTGGAGCTGAAACCACAGCGGTGATGATCAATCCTGAAAACTGGGCCAAAGGAAATGTAAGGTGCACACATCTCAGCTGAAACTTCTGAAAATGCTGACTCTTGGGCTTTGGGGCTGAAATGTGTATGGCAGACAAGCTGAGGAAGAAAGCTGTTATAGGGATTGTTTCTTGAGAAATAAACCAGCAGAATGAACAATGCCCCTTTCAGAGTCCTTTAGTAAGATCCTTTGCTTCTAGTTTGGTTGTTAATAAGCAAGGAGGATGCATTGCTGGACATAATTATTATAAAGGAATGGTTAGGGACCTTGAGGATCAGCCTGGAGGCAGGGACCCTAAAACACTTGTGTTTTTTTTTAGTTACTAGCTAAAAAGGACATATGTAATGGGGAATTTAGGTAGCAGATTTAGGTGTTTTGTTTAGAAGTAAGGAGGGCTCTCTGAAGAGCTAATTAAAAGTAGAATTACTATGCTATTCCAAAAGCAAACCAAATAAGCAGTATACTAGAGTATATTAAAGCTGGTTCTGTTTCAAACTTGCTGGAGCTATAGCTTTTGTAAAACAAGTAGGGGCATTTAAAAAAGAAAAAAGCTATTTTGACTTGCAAGAAAAATGAAACAAGCTGATATTCTCAGGGGTTGAGCAGTTTGCCCGACTAGTGCAGGGAAAGAATTCTGCTGTGACAGCTTTATCAATTTTTGTGGCAGTGGCTTTCAACCTGGGGTCCACCACAGACTATGTCTAAGGTGTCTGCAAAAGATGACTATAATCAATCAAAAGTATGTGAACATCCATTCTTACCATTCAAAGGGGTCTGCACTTCCATTTGAAATTTCCAAAGTGGTCTGCAAGTGGAAAAAGGTTGAAAACCACTGGTCTATAGCATGGTTCTGTGTATTGTGTATTCTGTGTAAGCACACTGCTGTGAATAACTGGTGCTGAGATTATTCCAGTGGTAAGAAATGAGGAACAAATGTAACTATTTCTGCCATGCCTTTTGGGGCACCTAGTTTTATTCCTATCCTGTATGTTATCAATTTTCTAAATGTTTTGTACCATTTTTCCTAAATACAGTACATCCTAAGAGGGCTGAAACTTCCTCTCTAAATAAAACAAGTTTGAAGAGAAGTGGCCCTGAATTGCACAACTAGTACATACGTGGCAGATAACCTAAGGTACTAGGAACCTTGGCAGCATTTGCTGATCCTTACTAATCCAAGGATCAGCTATCCTTATATCACTTTCCCAGTATATTAGGCAAAAAAATTGGGCAATAGCTGTCCTCCATCTAACTTAATTGCCTTTTCTGTTCTCCCTGAACAAAACATTGTAAACAATGCAAGGAAGACCTTGCACTCCATTTCAGGGTGTTACTTTTGTTCCTGGGATGCCATGCTCACCTCCCTGCAGCTAACTAGTGTCCTATTTTAAATTGGGTTGGGCCTCTTCTATGTCATCCAACTTCATTGATGCAATTCTAGGTCTGAGAGTGTCCCGGTTAGGATCCAGTGGTTTGACCCAATGGCTGTCTCAATGCTCTCGCGCTCCAGATCAATAAAAACGGAGTTTCCCACAGTGGATGGCAGGTGGTAGCAAAATCTCTACCTTGCAAGGACAGAACAAGTTCTGTCTGGCACCTTATTGCTTAGGCAGGTCAGAAATGCTAATAGAAGCCTAGTGGCCTTTAGAGGGACAAAACTCCTTCCTGCCATTGAGGAAAAACTAAACTAAACCAATCAAACAAACTGCTCTCAGTCTCATGTTGGTTACTGGGCATTTAAAACATAAGTAAAGGTCAGGACATTGGCATCAATGGGAAAGAGCTATTGATATATGGAAAGATTTGATTCTAGCAGCTGCACGAACACTATTAGCAACTATCACTTGTACCAAATTCTTCCGTAGGGTATATTATGGCTGCGTTCCATGCTTCACTCTGACTCCTCACTTCTTGCACATTGTGCACTGTTTACTTGTGCAACCCCAGTTTTAAGGAATTGGAACTGGTATTGTACATCTCACTGGGCCCCATCCTGAAATCTGCACTTCGTCCAGACTCGCATGGAACTAAAAACTGAATGAGGACATGCAAGATTGCTAAGCACCCTGGAGAATTCACCCTTGGCAACACCGCTTGCAGTGTTCCTTCATGTATAAAAGGGAGACGGTGTATACAGAGGTCCCAACCCCCTTAGAAAAAAAGGAATGCAGGTGAATGTGGGCTTTCTTAAGTAACTAATATACAGATGAATTATTCACCTTTCAATCGGGCAATTTAAAAAAAAAAGAAATAAATGTATGTGCAGATGATTAAACAGCCAGAAAAGAACGCTTCTGCTAGATTAAATACTAGTAACTGCATACAACAAATTACTCGCATCAGTGGACCAGCTGAGGAATCGCTGCAATGGGTTGTAATAAAATGAGCCATCCTCTAGTTTGGATTATTCTAGCCATCCAATAGAGAATAAACCTGGATTTGTAGTACCTGGTATGCATGCTGTTGCCTCTCCAGTACCAGTGATTTGAGGGGCATGAACTGCCATTTTGTACTGTTTCATAAGCAAATTCCAGTTTACAGTTGCTAACTCATGCTTCAGTGAAACCTTCCCTGTGAGCCTCTGTGAAATCTAGTGCATTCCCTGAATTTAGAGACCAGGCTGAAGGCAGGGCAGGTTTGCTCTTCATAGGCTAGCTAAATCAGAGATGCATTTAGTTAGTTTTTAAAGGGCAAATCTACCCAGGCTTCTGCGTGACTTGAGACAAACTACCTCTCTTGGCTCACAGAGAAGAGGCCGACATTGTTCTCAGCCTGTCTCGTGTGGGAAGATACGTTTGTTCGCAACACCATCTAGTGATAACTTTGTGCAATTTTTGCTAGAAAAGAACCCCTCTCAGCCCTTTCCCTTTTTTCTCCCCTTGTTTCTAGGAGTAGAATAAATTACCTAAATACAAAACCCTTTCAGAGGAGTGTTATGAAGCGATTAACATTTGGGCAGGGCACTTGCAGGACTTGCAAAACAGCTGAGTCGGCTCGCCCAGGGCTGTACTGACCGTGCAGTACGCAACATGACCGTGAGTGTCTTAACTGCCAGTACAGTGCGAGACCTTCCTTTGCGTGTTGTACTGCCGGCTGAGAGAGGCAGGGGCCAAGAGATGTGGAGGCGGCAGTGGCTGAGGGCTCTTCTTCCAGGGCAAGAGAGGAAAGTGAAAACCCGTGAGAGAGAGAAATAAAGAAGCCAGCAGTGAAAAGACTGGGACAGGATCAGGTTTCCAAGGTGCAACTACTGCATCTGCCCAGCTTGCCTAGGGGGCTGAGGGGCAGCAAGTACTCCAGCCCTGGGCTTGGACCACAGCTCCTCGTGGCAATCTCTGTGGATGCTGCTGCAGGCGGGGGATCGGGGCAGAGCAGGGGAACACCAAGGTGGTCCCCTAGTTGCACCCAGGGATAACCACTTTCCTGGCATGGGGCAGTACCCGGAGAGGTACTGTAGCTTTATGCCCACTTTATGGAGATGAGTGACTCCTCCTGTGGCCGTACAGCTGAGGGTAAGCAAAACTTGGGGGCTAAGGCTTGGGCCTTCACATAAGATGCCTGCCAAAGGATTTGGAAACATTTCAAGCCCCAGGTGGGGCAGAGGATGTTTGCCAGTTGTTGGGCTGCTTATAGTTCTTGACTGACTCCCGGATTTGGAGTGGATTTGGCTTGGAACATGAAACTTTTTCACCAAAAAAAAAAAAAAAATTGGGGGGGCACTGATGCACTTGCACCCCCTTTGATTCCAGCTCACCCAAAGTGTACAATCACCTGCCTGGCAGTAGCAGCTCATCAAAAAGCAGCTCCCAAAGACACTCTCAGAGGAACAGACTTCCACCTTCAGCTTCCTCCATGCAAAAATGAAGTTGCTTTTTCTACCTCTGGGGACCTGTTACCATCCTGAATTTTCCCTGAGCCTAAGGAAGGGCTTGTGAGCCCAAAATCTTGCAGGAAAAGGTCCTTTTTTTTTGCCATGTCTTAGCCGGCCTAAGAAAAGGCACTGTTTCCGAACCTCTTTAATTTTAAATTTCGTTGCAGAACAACATGGAAGATCTCTCCTTTTTTTGCTGGTTTCCCCTCCCTGCCTACCATCCGACCCCCCAGGGAAGCGATGATCTGCGCGGCTCTGGAGCGCGCCCCGAGGGAGCCGCCTCCCATCTTCAGCTCCCTCTTTCCTACCTCTGCGGCCTTGCGTGTGTTGACCGCCTCGCCCCAGCGGCCCTGTCCCCCAGAGCCCCAGGAAGGGCCTGGGCCTTCTCGCTGCCCTAGCACAAGGCATCGCGCGCGGTGCCCCGCACGCGGTGCCTGGGGGCGTCGCCGCGCTCGGCCCGGGCCCTTGGTGCCGCCCCGGGCGGGGCGGG